AACATATGAGCCCAACGGCCTAGATTGAATTTGGGCCGATCTGACCATCACGGATGTCCGGTAGTACTTGAATTTTATTTATTTTTCTACAAACCCAAATCACTTGAAATTTTAGGTGTGTTCTTCTCATCAAGATGAACTTAATACAAAAATAAATTTTTTTTTCCCGAAAACAAAATGATCAAAATACCCCCGAAACTTTTTGAGGGTATTTTGGTCAATTTATTTCATGTAAAATATTTTTTTGATTTTTTTTGAAGATTTACTTATTTTTGATAAACACATGTCTAAAATTTTAAGTGATTTGGATTTGTAGAATAAAAATAAAATTCAAACACTACTGGACATCCGTGATCGTCATATCAGCTCAGATTCAATCCGGACCGTTGGGCTCATATGTTCATATGAGCTAGTGGGTTTATATATATATATATATATATATATATATAGGAAAAACTTGGGTGAGTCCACTAGCTCATGGAATAGTATATACCCAACGGTCTAGATTGAATCTGGGCGGATCTGATGAACATGTATGTTTAGTAGTGTTTAAATTTTAATTTTTTTTCTACAAATCCAAATTACTTGAAATAAAAATATAAAAAAAATTTTCGAAAACAATTGACCAAAATACCCCCAAAACTTTTCGGGGGTATTTTGGTCAAACATCTACAAGCTCATACTTCAACAAAGGAGACAAGGGAGTGAGTCGTCGTTCAGAACGTGTTAAATCCGTGGTTTCTGATGCTGAGAAAGATAAAAAAGAGTATCATGTAGCTGGAAGATATCAAGTAAAGCATGGATTTGAAGATGTTAGCTCTCTTGAGTTTTCTAGATATGGATCATGTAATCAGGTTTCTACAGGGAAAAGACAAAAAAAATGAGATTTTATTCTTCGTTGTTTTGCGTAAAATGAGAACTATGCCTGAAATATCGAAATAAATCTTTCAAGTTCTCCATAGTCTCGGAATTTGGAAAGAGCATTTGGACCAATTAATTTACTCATTTCTAGTGTGCATCTTACCTTGTTCATTCAATGTCATTTACTAGATTAATTTGCTTGTTTGACATGTCAAATTCCAGAGTAGGTGCTCACTAACCAAATAGATTGATTGTTTGGAGCTCCTCTTTTTCTTGAGCACTTACATGCATGGTTTATAGAGGTGTTTCAAGCACTGGAACTGTTAATTACAGTATATGGCTCTTTAGTATTCTTCATTTCAATATTGAAGCATTTGAAGTGAACATTAACATGCTTTCCTACTTCTAGAGAGAAAAATATGGAAAAGTTGGTTTATGTTTTTCAAATTTCTGTTGTGGTATTTGGCTATCAGTATTCAAAATTCGGCAATAAAATGACTTGCAGGCCTGGAAGTTGACTCTTTTGCAGAAAATGAAAGAAGATGCCCAGTAACTAAAGAGGAAAAAGAAAGAGCATTCATGGAGGCTTCCTCCTTTAAGTCGGCCAATCTTTTTTTCATCAAATTTATGCATGCCAGATGTAGTCAGGGAGTTGTGGTATGCCTTCTGACTACTTGAACCTTTTTGTGATTGTCCGGTTCTCACAGAAGATGCTTTCTAAGGAATCAATTTGTGTTATTTGATCAAATATTGCTAAGGTGACATCTCCTTTAGCATTTGTATCTCTACAGAAACGTATTTTTTTAATGGAGCACATTCAGTTAGCCTCTTTTTAATTAACTATGCACTACTTTAAATTCTGCTGCCCTGAACATGGGTGATTGTGATTGTTGGGTTCTCACAGAAGATGTTTTTACAAGGAATTTGCTTGTTTTATTTGATCAACTATTGCTAGGTGACATCTCATTTAGCATTTCTACCTCTACAGAAATGCATTTTAAGGGAGCACATTCAGGTACTCTCTTTTTTAAATTATCTATTCTCTGCTTTTAATTCTGCCACCCTGAACATGGGCGGCAGTTACTAATTCTAATTTGACCACCTATAATGTCAGGTGGATTATTTAGAAAATGAGTGACCGAATGTTCTTCCCTTTTTGTAATTGTGTTTTCTTTCTGTCCATTTAATGCAACGAACATAAGAAAATTGACTGTCTGTGAAACTTTGGTCTAGTCTTCATATGAAACTACTAAAGGTGAATATAACTTGAGGCTAATTGCTTAATTTGTGTGCCAAAGTATTGAATGCCTTTGTTTTGTACCAGTTGTGAGAGGCTGTAATGGTTTCGGTTTTTCTATCCATGGTCTACAGAAGCTTCTGTATAGATGGTTTATCTATATAAGCTTCATCTAAATTTGCCTTTTCTTCCTGTTCTGTTTCTCATGCATATGCATTTATTTTGAACGCAGAATGTTCCTAATGCCTTCGTGAGAAAACATGCTTTACTTAAATCTCAAGACTTTCACCCTTCAAGATCCAAAAGGAAGGCTATGGCAAGTGATATTTAGAATAAAAGAAGCAGGACTAAGAGTTCAGCTTAGCACGGGGCGGCGTCAGTTCTCCCTCAACGATAATTTGAAAGAAGGTGATATGTGTATTTTCGAACTGGTTAAAAAAGTTATTCGCCTGCATATATTCAGGTGTAAAGATGATTGTGCCTCTGATTAGAAGGTACCAAAGGTTGATGGTTGGCGAAAGGGAGGCATTTCATTTTGTAAGAATTGATGGGCATTTTATGAGGGGAAGGATCATTACCATCTTGTGAGGGAGGCTCTTTAAGGCTTTAAGGTATGTATTTGCCTTATTCTGTGTGAGAAGGAGCTTAAATGTTGGAAAAATTTATGGCTTTTTTGGACAGGAGAGACAGGGTTTTTCTTCTCATTTTGGAAGTTGGGGTTGTTTCATGGTTACTGCCATTTTAATTGAGAGGAACTTTTGTAGGTGTATTTCGCTCTTGGAAATTAAGGAATACTCATTTTTGTGAACTTCAGATACTGGTATCGGTGTCTTGTATTTGTGGACATAAAACCGCTGCTTCCCCAACTGTCTTGTAATTGGAAATTATTTATTTTATATAAATATAAAAAAATAAAAAAATCATAATTTTTGAAAAATACTGGAAAATATATGGAATATTAAGTAAATTTGATATATAAACTTATTTTATTAAAAAATTATGTGATTAATCATCATACATTCTATGTTCTCTTTTTTTGTTTTGATATAGTAACGGTGGGAGTGGAGAGTGGGATGATGTATTGAGGCATCCACCTCTTAACCATTGATGCCCCAACTCCATTTTTACTTTTTAATATGTTACTTTATCATGAAATTCGGTTCTTGAAACTAGGTGAAAAGTAATTCATGCTATTTATTGGTATCATAAGGAATTATATAAGGCTTTATGCACCAAAAAAAAGTAGAGTAAATATAAATTTTTTATTGACATAAATGGAATACTAGATTTTGCATTTTGATTTGAACGTGAATTACTGGTGTGGGGTGGTTGGGCTTCTGCTCGTGGGTTCAAAGTAATGAGTAGATGCTTGGTTTTGCATTATTAGATGTGGCATTTGGAGCATCCCCACACCTAAGTCATCATGTTGGGGTTTTTATTTTCATTGTACCACCCTATTAACATTTTCAGAAACCTAACTCCTAATCTATTTCAAAATAATTTTAGGGCAATGATTTCATGCAACCGTTATATAGTAATATGATGCAGCAATCTTAAAAAAATCATCTTATGGCCATTTGTTTGATTCAAAATTTGAAATATACACTCTTTTCATTTTAATGAACAATCACAAAAAAAAAAAAAAATGAAAACACAACCTAGAAAGTATTTTTTTAGCCCAATTAACGTAGGTTTTTCATTTTGGTTAGATGCTTAGATCTAGGTTTTAGATGGATTTTTTCATTTCCAAATTTTTTGGATGACTTTATTATCATTAGATGAACAATGTTAAAAAAGAAAAACATGATTTTGAGTTTATAAAGGCTAAGATTTTGAAATTCACAAAATGAACAGGTTAGATTCGTTTTTGGAGGGGACTCATTTTGACCATAGTTAGGGTTCAAATTGATTAATTTTTTTTTTTTGTGTGTGCAAAATTTGGAGTCATATAAATACAACAAACATGGTTTTGTTTAGAAGTGTCATTGCATTATACTATAATACAACCGTTGCATTGGATCATTGCTCTATAAATACTTGTGACCTCATTGTATCAAAGGTAAATGGTCTCATTGCGTACAATCCCTTATAAAATTATAAAATAGGGGTCTCATTGTTTAACTATTATAGAATAAGTTTCTCATAGTTTACAATCCGTTGAAATATTAATAGAATGGAAAAAGTTCTTATAAGGTTACAACCTTGAAATGTAGATTTAAAGAGGCACATCAAAAATTCATCGAAAATGGTTGTTTTAATGTCGAAAACCCCTCTAATTGATCATCTTGACATTGTAATGTATGAATATAAAAAAAAAAACAAGATTTTGAGTCTCATAAACAGTACATCTTGTAACATATTATCTAAACTGTCTATTTTCAAGATTTTGATATATTTATAGATCTACTTGATTTTAGCTATATTTGAAGTTCTAAAATTTTATAACTAGATATAAAAATAGATTTTTAAATGATCCAAAAAATTTTGATAACAAAATTACATATTATGATAAAATTTAAAGATGCTACTTGATTGAATTGTTTAAAGTTGCAACCTTATAGAAACCACACCCTTATGAAATAGGAGTTATAGTATATAAGCAACTCGAATAAAAGGGGTATGATGGTCATATTTCGATGGGTATTTGAAAAAAAAAAAAATCGCATATGCAACAAAATAATGCAATTTGCGGCCATGGTTGATTTAGAGTTTAGAGAGAGAGAGTGGTGAAATAAGGATCAAATCTGTATTCCGACCACCCATCACCTCTTGACCTTATCCGTTTTTCTTCTCTCTCTACTTGTACATAGCCCCCCTAACCTTCCTCTTTCCTTTCCCAATTCCTTCGTCCTTCCACCGCCCAATCGGACTCCCAATTTAAGGTAAAGTACTTGTCTGCAACTCAGTAAATTTATTTCTTCATCTCTTTTTTCTACTAATTTAGTGTCTTTCTCTCTCTAAATTTCCAGTTTCTTAAGAGTTATTTCCAATTCTAGTCTTTTGGGCTCTCTCTCAACCCATCAAAATTTCAGTTCCATAGTTTGGATTCTTTTTTTCTAATCTTTTGGGCTTTCTCTCAACCCATCAAAATTTCAGTTCCATAGTTTGGATTCTATTTTTTTTTTAATTTCTCTCCTGTTTTTTTCCTCCCCCATTTTTTTCCTGCTCTCTCTCTCTAGTCTCTCTTTCGCTCTCTCTCTCTCCTTTTCATCCTCCCCCCATTTTTCCTGTTCTCTCTCTCTTTCCTTTTTTTCCCTCCCCCCATTTTTTCTGCTCTCTCTCTCAACACATCAGAATTCTCAGTTCCATCATTTGGGTTTTCTTATTTTCTCTCATCTTCTCTGCCCCCATTATTTCCTTTTTAGTTCTTGTCATTTGGGCTCTCTCTGTACATCTATCTATCTACCCATAAAATTTTTTATTTGGTTCAATTCTGTTCATTTGGTTGTTTTGTTGCTTTGTTTAATTCTGTTCATTTGGTTCTTTTCTTATTTCGAGTATTACCTCATCTTAGTGGCTCCGTACCTCACTCTAAATTCTTCAGAAAATTTTGCAGCTCCTACAAATCACCAAAATGGCAGCAACTTCAGCCACCATCTCTCCTGCAACACTAGCTCCGGCCTCTGCAGCCAACATATTAAAGAGAAAACCCACAAATTTCATAGTGGGTCTTAATTCCTTTGGTGGGTTGAAAGCCCAAAACAAACTATCAACTTTGGGCCTTCCCAAATCCACTGATCACTCTTTCTCACTCTTCGCCAATTCCATGAGAGCTTCAATGGGTAGTAGTAAAGGCAAAGGGGGCGCCCTCTCTTCAACCTGCAATGCAGCTGCTGAAATTTTCAAGATTGCAGCGATCATGAATGGGTTGGTTCTCGTTGGAGTGGCTGTTGGGTTTGTTTTGCTTCGAATTGAAGCATCAGTAGAAGAGGCAGAATAAGAGAGACAGAGAATGGCTGTTTTTTTTATTTTATTTTAATTTTCTTAAAATAGGCTTGAAGCCTGTGAAAAATCCAATTGGTTGTTGCTGCATAAACTGATTCCTTATTGTGGATTTAGCAATATATTTCCTCTCTCTCACAACTGGTTTTGATTCAAATTCAACTTAGGTATATATTATATATTGTATCGGGACAACCTTTGGTATAAGCAGGTGAGAATGGTTCATGACTGTCTCAATTGAAATTTGATAGCTTCGGTGTTACAAAATTTGAAAAAAATTTATTTTTATTTTTGAGTTTGATAAATAAAATAAATGGAGCCATCAAATTTCACATTCAATGGTAAAAAACAATCGTGACCACCTTATACTAAAAATAAGTCTCACATACTTTACCTATTGTATTACATATATTATGTGTTCTATATAATATTAAAGAAATTTATCAAGTTATCCATGAAAGATTAACAATTTATCCCTCTACCTATATTTTTAAATTTAAATTCAAAATAACTATAAAATAACGGATTAGGTTTCTATAAGGTAAAGGCTTTATGAAAACAAAATAAAACCTTGCCTCAAATCCTCCTCTATAAAGTACTTTTGGCAACATAAATATTCATGATGGATCTAAATCAATTTCTAACACCGACAATAAAATTTGAAATTCAAACAATAGTATAGATTTTGTAGATCTATGAACACTTATTTTTAAAGTGAACCGGACGGTCTAGATAATTTGTTATAATATACATAGTTTTTAGAGTTTAAAATACTATTTTTTTCACAATTAATATGTTCATGCTGAGATGAGATGATTGATGTAGAAGTTTTTCAATGTTTGAATTGTAATTTTCATTAAATTATGAGGTGAGGCTTTATTTATTTTGATAGGGTTGCGAGCCAATCAAACCATTTTCTTAAAATAACACATGCTCTTGAATTAGAATAGTTCTAAAAAGGGTAAATTGTTAAATAGTAAATCTCATGTAAGTATTTTGATAGGTTTCCCATAATATTATAATTATTTAATTTTTTGGTGATTTCAGCTATAAATAGCTTCCTCTGGCTAAAAACATACGGCTTTGAACAAATATTCGAAAAAGGGTGCGGTTTATATAACGCCTAGGCTCTAAACAATCAAATTAGAGCCTACTTTCGAATAGTGTCAAGAAATGTGGTTTCAATAGTGAAAATCTTTTTGATAGCCTTGAAGTATATTTTCATCTTTATTTATAAAGTTTGTAGCTTAAAAAATAGTGTAAATCGAAAGATATATGAAAACTTGAAAATCTTGAAATTTGACAGTGCAAAAATGCGTTACAAAATATGCTATTTCCAAAACTTGAAATCCTTTTTTTTCTCATGTCCATGCATCTTGATATCAAGATGATGAATTTGAGGATATTTGGGCATCAAAACAACCTCTTCTACTGAAATTTTTGGGGTAGGCTTGAATTTGATTGTTTAAAGCCTCGGCTCTAAATAAACTTTTCCCTTAAAAAAAAAAAAAAAGAGAAAATGGATTTCAAGAAGCACATGGTTTTGGAGCTGCCATAAAGATATCCCAGGCCAAAAGTATTTTCCATTCAAAGTGAGGCTTTACATTTTTTTCATAACGTAGGCCTTATCGATACTCCATCCAATATACAAATGGTGAGGTTTGCATGAGGTTTCAACCTTAAACAATCGAAGTAAGATTTACCTCTAAACTTTGTCAAAAAATTTTTAGATGGCCCTAAAACCTATTTTCATATCTAATTAGATAATTTTAAATTCTAAAAATGGTTCAAATCAAACAAATATATAAACATATGAAAATCTTGAAAATTGACAGCTTAGATAATGTGTTGCAACACGTACTATTTTTGGAATTTGAATTTTTTTTTTTTTGGATACCATCTCGATGTTGAAGTGATCAATTGGATGGTTTTCCAATATCAAAATAGCCTTTTTCCGATGAATTTTTGAGGTGCACTTTATTTTGACAATTTGATGCGTCAATCTTATATAACTTTTTTCCATATATAAAATTAAGGTTTTTTGGCCCATACATTATTGTGTATCAAATTCCTTTTCTTTTCTAAAGGTTGATCGTTAAGTAGTCAAATCTGGAAATTGAGAGGCGGTTTTACATTTGGAAATAAATATACATTTTTGTGCCATAAAAGCCTATATTTACCGCTTATTACAAAGAAAGCACAATTTCATTTAATGCACAACAAAAATTTATGCAAAAAACGAGTGCTCCTAATATTCTAGAAAAAGTAAACCTGAATGCACTCATTTTCTGGGGTAAGTTAGCTAGGATTCAAATCGAAAATCTGACGCCGTGGCCCTCATAACAAAATGACGGTGTCAATTTCACATATCTTTTAAGATTATACCATACATGACGTGTCTTTTAAGATAGTGCCCAACTTACGTTGTCCAAATGTAATAGAAGATGTAAATTACTGCAATCTTAAGTTACAAATTTATATAAATTTTTCCAAATTTTGATTGAGTAATGATCCTATGAGATCTTTTCACATCCATGTGTATAGGACCTCAAAATATTATCATTAAATTTGGTATAAATATCTAAAAAAGGTTATTACATGGGTGTGAGACTTGATTTTTTTAGAGATCGGTGCCAAATTTAATGGTGATCATTTGAGGTCCCACACATATGAGTGTGAGAGGGTCTCATAAGATCATTACTCATCTTGAATTATATACAGCCACAACTAAGACTAGCAAGCATACAATGTGATCGTATGGGAGTACGCACTCATATTCATTTATAACTTGAGTTTCCATAATTCCTTGAACTTGTCCTTGACCAAGAAAACGTGGTTTTTCTTTGGGTGGGTCAGCGAAGACACCCATAAACAAAAGAAGATGGATTCTCCCAGCGGAATACTTTTAGGTGTGAAGCTGACCGTTGGATTTCATCATCAATTGCAACGCCTTCACGTCCACAAAGTTCAAGGGATTTAAGGCCCCTGCAACCGTTCGATATGATGAGCAAGGAGTCCTTTGACACCAAGTCATAGTCCAAAATCAAAGTCTTGAGATTTTTCATGGAATTGGCAATGGCTGATGCCTCTTCTTTCGTCATCCACCACCCTCCAACCTTCAATTTAGTTATCTTCTTGCAAAATTGGCCAATAGTTAGCAAGACTTCTTCATTTGCAACGCACATCAAGTGCATCACTTCAAGCTTTCTCCACTGTCTTATAGCTTTCCACAGAGCATCCTTTGTGACATCAGTGCACCAATTTCATGACACAAACTTGAGTCCAGGGGACCTAGATCAAGAAACAGCTAACACATGCGAGAGACAGAGAGCATGGCTTGAAAATCTACTTTCATACCTACTTTTAAAATTTAAAAAATAGTACATATCAAGCAAATCTATAAATTCTTGAAATATATTGTCTAGATAATTTGTTACAATATACACTATTTATATAATTTGACTATTTTGTTTTTCATAAACAACATGTTGACATAAAGATGATGAATTGGAGGATACTCAAATTTCAAAACATTGTATTCTAGTGGATTTTTGAGGGGACCCGGTTTCTATGCGACCAAGCCCACATATGTAGAAATGTGGGCCCATTGATAAATATATTTTTGAGATAGATTTTAAGATTTACATTTTTAAGGACACGTAATATCTAACATGGAGATCATGAATATGAAAAAATATATAAACTTTAAGAACTTTAAAAATAAATAAACTTTAAGAACTTTAAATACTAATTTTAGCAAGAGAACATTTGGACCGCTAGTTTCCATTGTTTTTAGATGGAACACCTACTTGCATCCATCTTAAAGATGGATGCTTTACACTCTCTGGATCGCATAAGTAGAAATGCGGTCCAGGCCGCATGAAACAATTTTCCTTTTTGAAGTGCACCTTATTTTAATAATACAAGGTTGCAACCTTATATAAACTCTTTTCATCCAGTAAAGTCATCAATAAGAATTATTGTATGGGACAGTATATGATGGGACCATTTACCTTTGGTAAAAAATGTGGTTACAATTAATCTTGACCATTTAATTTGAAATTAAGTGGCTGCATTTATTTTATTGACCAAGCACAAAATTCAAATTTTTTTTTCTTAAACTTTGTAATGCACCCAAGCTATCAGATTTGACTGTAAGTGATTGTGACCTTCATGTATCAATCGTATCTAATGAGATTACTTATTAACTATAGGAGAGAGAGAGAGAACCTTCTAGCTACATACAAAGTGTGTCGATCGGCTGTAACAAAACTAGGGAAATATATTGAGATCAAGTGGCCATGGCTTCGACCGACCACGAATTCGAGAAGCTCAGCGAAATCGAAAATATGCCTGCGTATATCCCGGCTTCCCGAAGAGATCATCCTCCATTGTCGAAGATCAAGGTGCTCCCAACAAAGAGGATCAAGAGATACGAGTCGCCACAGTGAACAGACCAAAGGCACAATTGAGATAAGTTGTTTGAAGTCTAATCTCCTAAAAATTTCAATCATAATATCTCTGGGAAAATTGTTCCATTGTTTACTCTCTCTATCAAGAAAGCATACTTCCTTCCTCCTACTCCTCTCCATAGAGCTCCACACGAGACCACAAAACACATGGATATATAAGACATGAGGGTCTCCTCTTATGTCTCCAAGGAAAATGAATGTTTTAATTTTGTTCCTTTCCGGTGCTATTGGAAATCAGATGGGTCAAATTTATGTCCACTCCCATTAGGCATGGGAGGCCAAATGAAGTTTTTGACTACGAGGGACCTCATTATTACATTTTCTCTTGGATAAACTCAGGCACACTGCGGGATTCAGTATTCGCAGGTCCAACTCAAAACCGGTTGGTTAAACCGGAGCTAGGCACTGACCGATTTGGCTTTGGTGGTCAGGTCGGGTAGTTTTAAAAAAATAAAATCCTCAAAAATAAAAGATTTGTTTGTGATGTATTTTTGAAAATTTTTATTATTTTGACACATATTAGAAAGTGTTTTGGTCATTTTTATATTTTTCCATCTCTTTGGAAAATTTTGAAAATATCTTTAGGTACAAGTCAATTTTCTAAAATCTATTTTTTTTACTTACGTTTCAACTTCATTTGAATGTTTTTTGTTTAATCATAATTTAAATATACTTTTCATAATTTTTTGGATTTGTTTTTAACGCTCTTTGGAGTGTCAAGGACCTGCCCGATTAGGCCGGTTAAACCAGTCAAACCGGTTGCTCGGACCCGGCCTTTGGCCAGTTTTTGAGGGTGGTTTGATTTCTGAAACACTGATATAAAAAACACGGGCACAAAGAAATTGTGTGGGGAAAAAAAAAAAATGTACAAAAAATTAAATATGGTCCTCCCTTAGTAAAAAGACGAGGTTTTGATAAGCCCGTTGGTTGGTTTACATAATTCGCATAGGCCTCGCTCCAAATTCCCACCGGGAAATGGAGTTCTGGTGCTTGAAAACCTTGTGATGGCCTACAAATCCGTTTCTCTTAAATGATGCAAATTTAACAGATTTGGGCGGTCTTAAAAATGTGTTGCAAAATGAACTATTTTCAAGCCTTGACATTTATTTTTTATTGATCCATGATTATGAAGCTGGGGTTGAAGTATTTGCATATTTCCCGGCACCAAAAAGGCATTTTAGAGCTAGACTTGTGATGCAGCGTTGAGCCTACACTCCTAGTAAGCTCAAAGGTGGACACCTAGTCAGTGTGCTTGTTACCTGGGACTTGGGCATTACATGATGCATGTGCATGAGTTTATTTGCTTTGGAAAATTGTGTAGGGAAAATAAAAGTATTGCATTGAAGTTAATGTATTTTGCTTTAGAATTTATGTTAGCATGGGTAATAGGTTAGTTTTGTATGTAGTTATTGTTTTAAGAGCTCCAAAACTGGATTTTGATCTTCCAATATATAGGGGGTTGATTAGAGGCCTTTAGAAATATGAAAACTTAGGGGTTGAGTTTATAAAACGGCAATATAAATAGGATGACGAATTTTGACTAAAAATATCATTTGTTGCTAACAAATTTTATGCTGCGTTGAGTTGAGTGAGTCTTCCCTTAGAGTTGAGTGATTCCTCCTTTCTCGCGTGAGTCATTTCATCCTTTCCTTGTCCGTTGAGAGATTCTCGATAGTATCGCGTAGGCCCCAGCCCGCATCAACTTGTTGTGCAGCTACGTAAAGCTACGGCTTTACAAAATACTTTAATCAATGGTTTGATAGGGCTGTGGCTCTATCAAAACAAGTAAAGCCTCACTTCATAACTCATCCAAAATAACAATTCAAGCATTGGAAAACGTTTATATCGATCATCTCGACTTGAGCATTATGATTGGAAAAACATAGGATTTCAAGCTCTAAAAATAACGTATATTATAACAAATTATCTAAACAGCCTATTTTCCCCTAAAAATAAGTATTCATAGATCCACAAGATTTGTACAATTTTTTTAGTTCCAAATTTTCTTTTTGGGGCTGGAAAATGATTTTAAGAGCCATCATGGATATTTCATTTGCCGAAAGTGCTTTCTGGACGAGGATTAGAGGTGAGGCTTTATTTTGTTTTCATAAAGCCTAGGCCTCATAGAAAACTTCTAAAACTCATAGGGAGTTTATCTTAAATAATTTTATTATGGATTGCCAAATAGCAATCCAAATAACATTTTAAAACCTTATAAGTTTATCTCAAATAATTTTATCTCAAAATAGCACTCCAAATAACATTTTAAAGCCTTATAAGTTTATCGCAAATAATTTTATAAATAGTATTGCCAAACAACAAATAGCTCGTTACCATTCATAAAATTATTTGTGATAAACTTATAGGGAGTTTTAGAAGTTTTCTTTTTCAAAAGTTGTTTTTATTTTACTCATAGAAATGGTCAAACCCACAAGTTTTTTTACCAGAAATAACTAAAGGTAAGGTATATAATAGGACCGCTTAGTTTTGTTACAAGGAGGTCACAATTATTATTGGCCATTAAATGTGAAATCAAGTAGATAAGAATGTCTTCGATTGGGCACAAAATATCGAATAAAATTTCTCGAATACGATAACACATTTTATTTTGTAGGATTTCACATCCAATGGCTAAGAGTGAATGCGACTTCATTGTACTAAAAGTGAATGGTCCCAAAAATTTAAATAAATAAACGAGTAACATTATATAATTCAAGGTATGTAATAGAATAAGGGTGTAGTTTGCATAAGGTTGCAACCTTAAACAATTAAAATAAGGTGTCCCTCCAAACTTTTCATAAGATGTAATTTTGGTGCCAAAAATACTTTGGATGCCTTGAGAATCTATTTTCATCCCTAATTAAAAAATTTTAAAATAAAAAAATGGTTCAAATCAAGCATATCTATAAACACGTTAAAATCTTGAAAATGGACGGTCCAAATAATATATTACAAGATGTACTATTTTTGGGACTTAAAAATATTTTTTGTTTTTGTTTTATTCATATCCGTACATCTCAATGTCGAGATGATCAATTAGATGGTTTTCCAACGTCAAAACATCCTTTTTCAATAGATAATTGAGTTGGACAAGAGGCTCAATTTTGGACCACTTCACAAGTCGTGCCTTATTCCTATTTTTGAAATATTATTGTAAATTGATGAAATCCATCATATAACAACTTCTACGAAATCAAATAAAGGAATGTGTACTATAATGCTATTCACTTATGGTACAAGAAGGTTACTATCACTTCTGGCCATCTAATGTGAAATCAGATAGCTTGGAGTATATCATAATGCTCGAAAAATTTTATTTTGGATTTTAAGTCTGGTTAACACCATTGCTATTAGCCACCCCATTTTACATCTAATATTCAGGTGATTATAACCTCCTTGTATCACAAGCAAATAGTCTTATGCTATACTTTTCTATAAATCAATCGGGGCATAAAATCCATGAGAGCATATGATACATAGGACTCTTAAATAACATATCCAATGAAATTATTTAAATTTCAATTTCGTCGATACTTTGATGAAGCATGGGAAGAGGATGACATGCTATTTTTACATAAACATCTCTCTCCACAGTAGTTGTTAACTCCATGTTCATTATAAAAACAATCACTACGGCGCGTTTGTTTGCAGGAAGACAAACGTTCCAGAAAGATTTCTTTCAGAACCAAGACTTAACTGCAAAACAAACGTGCCCTAAGTATAAACATAAACCTTTTGAAACCAAGGACCAAAAACACATCTTACATGTCCTAGCTTCCAAGGACTTTGTAGTAACTAAAACCCTAATCCTTGATTAACAAGGGGGTGGGATCTGAGTTCCACTATAGCTAGCCTTGACATTCATACAAGTGGCCTTAGCACGCTTTCCTGGTCCATAGTAGTTCAATTGCACGTCTTGTAGTCGTACATTTTGGCAAGGGAGTCCATTGCTACAGTGAAGAGTAACTGCGGTCTCAGTAGCGGAAGTCCCGCGTATGTTCTTGAAGGAAACATCACTGATCTTCACTCGAGAAGGTGCCTGTATGAAGAAAAGAATTTTGTTGAGCATGGAATTAAGGGGAAAAAATGGTCATACAGGAATATCGCCTGAGTCGGACCATATCCGGACGCTGGTGATTTTATGGACAAAAACTCCCAAAATCAACCTAGTGTCCTAATCTCTAATTTTTTTTTACAAAAATTTATATCTGTGCCATATTTAAATATGGTAATTACAGACTAGCGCAAATTTATGGAAAATTTATGCGGACGTCCATTTATTTATTTATTTTTAATTTTGCCTTCCAATCTGATTTTGGAAACATCATACTTTTTTTTTGCCTTCCAATCTGATTTTGGAAACATCATACTTTTTTTATATATATATATACTTTACTTTATGTTAAATAATGCAGTTCAGTATCTCTAATATGAGACTGCCCCACTACCAACCACTACATCCACTAGTATCAAAATTGTGTTCTAGGTGGTCGGATGGACTACAATCTATTTTTTTCGTGAATTTTTACTGTTTTCTTGATCCCGTATACGCTCTCTTACTTTTCAAAAATAACGCGAGTATCAAGCTCTTAGACTTCCTGAAATATTGCCTAGTTTTAAAGGTTTTGTGGTACATCGGGGCCTTTGTGGTCGGCCGGACCACCTAGGACGTAAAGGGTTTGAAAAGCTTTTGGATAACGGGGTACGATATGCCATATATTGAACCGCCCTATATGCTTCCTTCTAGAAAATTTACTCCCAATGTCTCCATTAGAACTTGTACCTCAGAAAAATTATGATCTAATGTTTGATGTTTTCAACATCGGGCCAATCCATGCATTTAAAAAAAAAGAAGACTAATTTAACCTTTCCAATATCTTACCAAAGAGTAAAACTAGAAAAAAACAAAAAAGAAGAAAAAGAAAAAAAGAACCACAAAAAGTACCGGTCCGATGTAGATATCGAGTTGGTATACCTCTGCATAATTTTTTCACAAATTTGGATCAGTCTATAATTGCCATATTTAAATATGGCAAGGACCCCATTTTTTATCTTCTCTGTAATTTTTTTATTGCTAAAATATAGCCCGATCCAACTAGGAATCGACCAAGTTAGATCAAGGGAATCGGATTCGATTTACGATTTTTAAACATTGGCGTGGAACATCACTCAGTCCTTATCTTACGTGGTTGTTGTTTCACCATGGATGCACTGTTCACATGAAGAGAGAAAGAGAGAGAGAGAGAGAGAGATATATATACCCGAGCTGTACAGTAGGTGTAGGGACAGTAATTCTGGTCTATGATGATGGGGTTTGCTACATTGTACATGACTATATTTTCAAAAGTCATATTTGTAGCAACACTAGTGTCTGGTGAATCTTGCCATGTCTTGATCCTCAAACCGTTGGCTGTGCCCGTAAGGACGCATCCAGTCACACTCAGTCCCATCACGTCCCCTTCATTAGGATACCTCCCAAGGCTCCCAACACTAGCAAAAGTAGTAACAACAAATTAGATCAAAATGTCATATACTTACTACATACCCTACAAATTTCTACAATTTTTTTCTCCTTTTTCGATAGGGCTGCCCTATTTTTTTTTTGCCCTAATTTAATGTTTAAAAAGACCAATTGCGCGGACACTCGACTTTTGCCACGGAGACACATGTAGACACGCACAGACATGCACCCGACATTTTGTCTATACGGTCAGATGAGATATTTTAGCGATACAGTATGTCGGAATTCCAGACACGAAGTATCTCTATACATTTAAAAAAGGAAAAAGTTTATATAAGGGTAAGCCCTAAACAATCAAATTACGGTGCGTCTAAAATTTTGATGTTAAAAAACCCTCAATTCGATCATCTCGATCTCAAGATGCACGGACATGAGAAAAAATAAATCTTAAATCTTAAAAATTATCTTATCTAGACCGTCAAATTTCAAGTATTTAAAGATCAGCTTGATCTATACTACTTTTGAATCTTTAAATTTTATAATTAGGTATGAAAATAAACTATTAGGCCATCACAAAGATTTCGACACTATTTGAAGGTGCCTCTTACTTTGATTGGATAGGGCCTCAACCTTATACATATACAAACCATACCTTGAAGCGATGACCATTTGTAGTAACACCAAAAGAGCCAACCACCACACCATTAATGTGACACAAGTTTTTATTTGGAATATATTTTGGACAAGGTTTTTATACAGCCAGCCAGCGTATTGTAGAAATGCTGGCTTGGCACTAAAAATAATTTTTAAAAATAATTTAATCCTAATTTGTAGAGAATATATAACTTTAACATAGGTGTCATGAATATGAAATATAAAATAAAATTGAAAAATAAAAATAATAATTATATTAAGAAAACATTAGGACTGTTAGTTACACTTGTTTTTAGATGGACCACCTATTTGCGTCCATCTTTATGGTGGATGGTTTATACCTCTGGACCACATATTGTAGAAATGCGGTCCATCTCACGTAAAATAATTTTTTTATATTTTATTTGTCACTTAACAAGCCATAAATGCACATGTAGCCTTTCTAGCTTTATACAACATGATATTAACAAAAGAATCATTTAATGCAAGCGCATGCACGTGTTTATTAATGTTATTAATATATTGCCAACTTATTATCATATGTATATATTTTTCAATAGAGTAATGATCCTATAGGACCTTCCTCCATCCATATGTGTAGGACCCCAAAGAATCACCATTAAAGTTGGCACATATCTCTAAAAAAATTATGTGGGACTTGATTTTTCTATAGATCCGTGCCAAAGTTAATAGTGATCATTTGGGGTTCTACATACATAGGTGGGAGAGGGTCCAATAGGATCATTTCTCTTTTCAATATATTCAATATCTTTGTTGTTAATTTATTGTTTTGTTAATATGTGCTCGTATATACTAAAAAAATATTATCCATTTTTTTAATTTCTAAAATTAAATGATGCTTAAATTATTTTATTCATAACATTTGGACATGTATATTACTATTATTTACAAGAACAAATGAGATACAAAATTGTACAAACTATCGAGAGATCAAGCTTACGAGCATACAATGAAGCTCTAAGAGAGAGTGATTGGCCAACGACTAAGGCATGAATGAGTGTATCAGAAAATCAATTTGGTTTTATATCAGGAAGATCAACAATCGAGGTTATTTTCCTATTTAGACAACTGATTGTGAAGTTTAGGGCAAAGGGAAAAGGCCTCCATATTGTTTTTATTGGTCTAGAGAAAGCTTATGATATAGTACTTTGAGATTTGATTTGACGGGTGTTGGAAAAGAAATGAGTTTCTAGACACTACATCGATTTGGTGAGAGATGAGTATGATGAAGTACAAACTAGTGTACAAACAACTAGTGAAGAGACGAATGAGTTTTCAATGACAGTAAGTCTACATTAAGGGTCAACATTTAGCTCTTATCTCTTGGGTTTCGTTATGGACGATTTAACTAGGCCCCTACAGGTTAATGTACCGTGGCGCATGTTATTCGCATATGACATAGTTTTGATTGATGAGACCCAAAACGACGTCAATACAAAGTTAGAACTTTGGAGGGATGCTCTAAAATCCAAAGGTTTTAAAAATAGTCGGACTAAGACATAATATATGAAATGTAATTTTTAATAATAATAGGAGTAGAGATGAGGAAGTATTTAAGATTGACTGTCAGGAAGTACAAAAAAGACTCCACTTTCGATATATTAGGTCGATAATTCAAAAAATGGAGAGATTGCGGAAGATGTCGCACACAAAATTAGAACCGGTTGGGTAAAGTAGAGACGTGCAATTGAAATTTTATGTGATCGCTGCATACTAATGAAGCTGAAGTACAAGTTCTATAGAACAACTGTGAGACCAACTTTGTTCTATGGGGTAGATTGTCGGGCAGATATAAAACAATATACCCATAAAATGAGTGTGGCAGAGATGATGATGTTGAGATGAATGAGTGACAAGACAAGAATCGATAGAATTCGAAATGAATCCATTCAAGAAAATTTAGACGTGGCACCAATATGCAATAAGATGATGGAGATAGCAGATTTAGGTGGGCTGGCTATGTATGGCATTGACCCAGTACAACAACTTATTATTTATAGAATTTTAAACTTCGAGACCATTTATCTTTGTTACAATGAGGTCACAATAATTTATCACTAAGATGTCAAATTGGATGGCTTGAGATGTGTTGTGAAGTTAGGTAAAAATACCTTTTCAAGGTTAAGTAGAATTGGAATTACCTGATTCCATGGCCTGGTCCACAGGTGACGCCATTGATAAATACTCTAGTGTTTCCATGGCCAATTGAGATACAATCGTCTCCTGTTCCGATCTTGGAATTGGAGATCGAGACATCAGTGGAACGTTCGATGTGGATTCCATCTGTATTTGGGCTAGTTGCTGGTGCTGTGATTTGTAGGTTGGTAGCCTTAAAATTCTTACAGTCCAGAAGAACTATGTGGAAAAACTTGCTATTCAAAGAAGTTATCGCCTGAACTTCTGTATAATCTGTAGCAACAAATTTAATGGACTGCAAAACCCCAAAAGTTTCCTTTTATTAATTGGCTCAAGAAATTTCTGAAACATTTGAAATAGCCAAACGTTAATAAAGAATCCAGCATGAAATAATGAAAATTCATGTTAAGAAACGCACAAAAACTTTTATCAATTAGGAAAGAACTTACAGCAGGGAGAACTTTGCAATTCTTGTTCTTTGGGCAGTTATTTAGTGGCCATGAAGCCGCGCCTTGGCCATCAAAGGTGCCATAGCCAGTGAGCTTGAGCCCAGTAAGCCATCCAAACATGACCCATGAGTCAGTGGGTCCATACTTGCTCAAGTCTGTAGAGGCTTTTAAGGTGCCCTTAATCATGAAATTCATGGTTGTCACACCCTTGCATGGTCCATTAAAGTTTAAAGGGCCCACTATATAATTGCCAGGAGGTATATAGTACCTAACTGAGCCTTTGAACCCACATGCTGCTTTCCATGTATCCATCAAGGCCTGGCTCAAATATATCAAAATGGATGTCAATAAGAGATAGACATTGTTACAAATATAGAGATACGAATATCATAAATATTAATACGGGTTATGTTAGAATATTCATACACGTTAATATTTTCTTAAGGTACTAAATATTTTTGCACCCTGGATATCCTTATCTCATAATGCAGTAACTTTTTTGTCTAAAGATATTTAAGATAATTAGTCAAGGATAAAATAGAAATTCTCGATAGAAAGATAATCGTTTATTACTTATAGGGCGAGCATTCTATGCTCCCCCTACAGCATAGAATTTCTATCCTCCCCTTACCATTTAGCCATCCAATTTTGATCAAGAGAGCTACTCACCGTTTGATCTTAGATCCGACGTCTTAAAGTATTTTATTTTTAGTTTTTCTTATACAAATTGTATGAATATGAAATTTGGTACGCTCTATCTTCTCGTTGGAGTGCACTTATAAAAAATATTAAAAATATTTTTTCAATAAATTATAATGACCAAAATACCCCTTAAAAATTTTAGGGGTAGTTTGATCATTTTATTTTATTGAAAATATTTTTTTTATATTTTTCTCTAGTGCGAGTTTAATAGAGGAATGGACATCCAAAATTTGGTGTCAAAATAGTTTATAAATTTTTTTTTTTTTAAAAATAGTGTAAAGATGTGACATTGTGATTGGGGCAATCTTAGCCCGTCATTCAGAATGGACGGTTGGATAAGGGGGCGGATAGAACTTCTATGTTGTAAGGAAAGCATAGAAACCCTTTCCTTAATTATATTGAAGGATGACATTGTTCATATGAGGTGTGATATCACTCACATGGAACAATGATTGCATCTTAACTATTAGTAAAATGCTTTTAATTTTTTATAAAAATATCTATTCTACCCTTCCTAATGATTAAAGATATCCTTACTAAAAAAAACTTTTGTATTACAAAACAAGGGGCAATGAGTATCCAAAACTGTTGAATACATTAAAAAAATGCCAATATATATGTGTTCCCTAACATAACTTTGTTAATATTAAAATTACTCATGCAAATAGTACATGTTTACAAACCATTTAAAGAAGCAAGGGACAGGATCTTACAAGGCATTAAGTACTTTTGTAATAATATTTGAAGAAGAAAGACCCAGAAGGTGTGGAATTAAGTACTTTTGTTTTTGGATAAAAATAGCAAATCACTTGTATCTTGATGAACATGGGCGGTACATGTAAGATTTGAGTACCATATTCCATACTAGTACGAACTATTAAGCATTTTCCCTTGTGCCAAAATTCGCAATAACCTCATTCAAAATGACCAAAAATATCCTTCTAGCAACAATTCTTACTTGTATTGGTTTGAAAAAATATGTGCAGGTTTGGTTTATGCGAAATTTCCATTCATAAAAAAGACTTCTAAGATATTGGTTCTATACTTTGCAAGGCATGAAGCCGCCAAGGTATGGAACCGGTTTCCAATGAATCACTACCAATTTTTATTCCAACGTGAGCATTTTTTGGCGCCATTTTCCCATTAAACAAACATGGAAAAGTGGCTTAGTTAGTAGAGAGAGACAAACTGAATTTTTTTCCTTTGAAATTTTTTTTTAGTAAATTATTGGGGATGACAGGCTTGGATTCTTTCATAATTTGTTTTTTAGATACTGTTTGAAACTATCCCAGTCTTCTACATCCCCTCTCTCTCTCTCCATTTTCTATTCTTTCTTAAAATATAGATTCAAGGAGACACCCTTCAATGCAATTTATGTGGAAAAGGAAGAAAAATGCCATTTTACTCTTTTTTTGAAAAAACAGAATGTATACAATGAGTCAATTTACCTTTGATGGAAGGAAGTCACAATTATTTACAACCATCTAATGTGAAATCTGATAGCTTGAATGGGTTATAAAGTTTGTAAATTTTTTTTTTTTTTTTTTTTGAAGTTTGAGTTTAATCAATGAAATAAATGTAGCCGTCTAATTTCATATCTAATGTTCGAGAATAATTATGACCACTTTGTACCAAAGATAAAGAACCTCATAAAAAAAAGAGTTTTTCTTTAAAAAACAAAAAACATAAGAGAAATAACATTTTGTGTGTCTAACCTTACTATCATCTGTTCTCCCATCACCCTTTGCACCATAGTTCATCACATTGAAGAAATCACCATTCTTCTCATTATTGTTCTTCACATCTAAGAAATCATCACCTTTTGCACCATAGTTCTCCACATTTAAGAAATCAGCACCCCGAGAGTGCTTTTTACCTCTACATTCTGAACCTCCAATCCTCAATAGCAACAAGCACAAGAGAGTCAACAATTTCATCCCCATTCTCATTTCTCAATAATCAATACATACACAATTCTTTTGGTTTCTCTAAAGAAAGCTCCAAGTTTGGTGGGGTTTTTATAGAAGCCCAACAATCCTCAAATTCCGGTATATCCATTAATAACCTTCAATTTAGCAGAGTTCAGCCAATTTTAGAAAAAAAAATAACAGCCAATTTGACTTCCCCTGAATTTGTCGCCGTGGAAACATTTAAAGAACAAGTCTCTTTGGCTGATAACCTCTATATTTTTTCTCTCCTGCAGTAGAGAGAGAAAGCGGGAGAGAAACCCGGGAGAGTTTTCATGGATGGGAGAAGGGCAATAAAGTAAAAGAATAAACTGAGTCAAAATATATTAAAATCAATCAATTGTAAATTTATTAGATGTGATTAAATTTAAGATGGACGGTTCCAATGTCACATAAACACTAACAAAGTGTATTGAAAATACATATGATCATCCTCATTTTTAAAATTATTTTTTTTGGAAAAGTTTATATACGGTTGCAACCTTAAAATGTAGAAATAAATATGCACCTCAAAAATCTCTCAAAAATCTATCCAAAAAAGTTGCTTTAATATTGAAAAATCCTCTCATTGATCATCTTGACATAGAGATGTATAAATATGAAAGAGAAAAAAGATTCTGAGTCTCAAAAATAGTGCAGCTTGCAACACATTATCTAGACCGTCCATTTTTAAGATTCTCAGAGTTTTATAGATCTACTTAATTTTAACCATTTTTTGAGTTTAAAATTTTATAATGGACCCGGTTTCTATGAGGCCAAGCCCGCATGTGTAGAAATGTGGGCCTATTAATAAATTTATTTTTGAGATGAATTTTTGGACTTAATTTTTATGGACGTATAATCTCTAACATGGAGATCATGAATATGAATAAATAAATAAATTTTAAATCTTGGAATATTTATTTTAGTAAAAAAATATTTGGACAGTTAGTTGTTATTATTTTTAGATGGAACATATGTTTTACACTTGTTGGACTGCATATGTAGTCATGCAGTACAGCCCGTATGAAATAATTTCCTTTTTATAATTAGATGTGAAAATAGATTTTCAAATAACCCTAAGAATTTTTTACACCGGATTGCTTAAGGTTCACCGGATTGCTTAATCAATTTTTACTAATTTATGTAGAAACCACTTGAATTATCTTCGGCAATATAGACTTCCACACGTCTAAAAACGAAAAATAAGAGCTTGTGCAGCATGCAGGAGCATGCTAGAGGTCTGATTTTTTGGTGAAAGATCTATTCAAGATGATTTTCTCGACTTTAAATTTTGTAATTACATTAATATTTTCAAAAAAAAAAAGAGAAAATATTTTGAGGTTTTAAACACTTACCATAGAGTAAAGCCACGCCTCAAAGCTTTGGAAAATGCATTTTGGTGCCACAAAACATTCAAATTGTTCAAATTGACATCAATAATTATGGGTAAAAACATAAATTTCAAGCTATAAAAATAATGTATCCTATAAAAATATTTTCCTGATCATCCATTCTCAAGTGTCCTTATATTTGCCAGGTTCGTGCTGTTTTTAAAGCTTCTAATTTCATAATCATCTGGCAAAATTTCTAAGCTAGGGGTTTATGGCATTAGAATTGTCTAATTCCGTGGGATCTTGAGGTGCAACTTTACTTTTTTCCATTAAGCTTAGGCCTCATGATAATTGAACCTACAATCCAGTTACATAAACCGATGTAACTGATGATTAACCATTCTGACTATTATACAGTCAAGTGGCATGTCGGTTTCAAAGCCACTTGAATAGCAGTAGAAACAACTATCGAACGATATAATGAGATGACAAATTATTGAGGAAAAAGCTTATTCAAGGTTAGGCTTTATGATAAAGTAAAGCCACAACTCAAACCCCTAGCAAATTCAGTTTTGGTGTCAGAACCCTCAAATATGTACATCTGGATATTGATAATTATGGATAAAAAAATGATTTTCGAGTCATAAAAATAATGTATCATGTTATACATTTTCTTGATCATCTGCTCTTATATTTGTCAGATTTACATTACTTTTTGGAGTTTCAAACTTCATAATCACAAGCAAAAACAAATTTTGAGGCCATCATAAGAGTTTTTGACATTATATGAAGGGATTGTATGCTACGAGACTATTTACTTTTAGTACGAGAAGCTCACAATTAATCTCTGCCATTAGATGTGAAATCCTACATACTAAAGTGTGTTGCAGCATTCTAGAAATTTATTTCGAACTCTGAGCCAATTGATAACACATCCTTATCAACTTGATTTCACATCTAATAGTGAGTAATTTTTGTGACTTGTACCAAACATAAATAGTCTCATTGTACGTTTCATTACATATGAATTTTTCAATAAGATCTTGAGGTGTAGCTTTACTTTTATTATTATTAATATTATTTTCCATAAAGCGTAGGCCTTATGCAAATTGAACCCAATTAGTAATAAACAAAATAAAATAAAATAAAATAAAATAAATTGGCTTTCTTGCCCTTATTTAACCTTTAAGCATGATACCACAAAAAATGTGTCTCCCCATGGCTTAGAAATTTAGAGATAGTATTCCATAGAACTTGAACATGCGTACACAATCAAACTAGAAAAATCATATGTTCATGCTATAATTACAATGTCATTAAGAAAAGAAAAATATTTTAACAAAGCTGCAGCCTTATCCCAACAGGTAAGGCTGAGGATGTTTACAGGGCTTTACAATACATAAAATACAACAAGCCAATCGCTACACATACATATATATACAAATCAATACATAAAATTAATAAAAGCGATTAGCATACATGACTACACTGTGAAACAAGGACTGAGGATGACAGGTTCAATAATACAGCATCATCTCTCGTTGCGAATTAAAACTAATCATACACCTAAGATCTAAACTACCAAAATCTCTTGGCTTTTTTTTCTTGTTTTTTAAGAACAAGGGGGTGGGATTTGGGTTCCACTATATGTGGCTTTAACATTCACACAGGAAGCCTTCGCGGGTCCACCATTATATTCCAGGTGGACATCTTGCAAAATTATCTCTTTGCAGGGGTGGCCCTTGCTACACTCAAGCTTGACTGCAACCTCTGTTTTGGAAGTGCCCCTTATATTCTTGAAGGTGATATCACTTAGCTTCACTTGAGAAGGTGCCTGTGAAGGGTAAAAAAAGGTTCAAATTAGATACAAATTCTAGCATCTACAAGTTATGTAATTGTTGGGATTCGACTTGAATGAGAATAGGAATAAGTGAGTAGAGGAAGGGTAATAAATTTTCTAAGGACAAAGATTTGGTGTTCTGAAGGACCAACTCATATGTTTGGACGTGCACCCAGAATACCACTGAGGGAATTTATTTTACGACAATATACAAGGATACGGTTTTATGAGTCCCTCTTAAAAATCTATCTTTGAGATGGATTTTCAAACCCAATTTTTAAGGAATTGTAATCTCTAACATGGAGATCATGAATATAAAAAAAATAAATAAATTTTTAAAAATAAAAATAATGATTTTACGAAAAAAACAATTGGACCGTTAGTTTCAATTGTTTTTAGATGGATAACCTATTTTACCATGGATGCTTTATACCTTGGGACTGTAGAAATCCGGTCCAGCCCACATGAAACAATTTTCCCAATATACAATGAGACCAGTTATATTTAGCAAATGAATGTCATAAATAATCTTGACCATTGGATGTGAAATTGGGTTGCTGCATTTATTCTATTGACCAGGCGTAAAGTTCAAAAGAAATTCTCTCGAACATTATGACACGTTTAAGCAGTCGGATTTCACATCAGGTAGTTATAAGTAATTGTGGGCTCCTAATATCAAAGATAAATAGTCCCGTAGTATACAGTCCAATTATCTTAAAGCCCCTTAAACTCATAAATTATCTTTATTCATCCCTAAGATCAATAAAAAAAAATGGTTTGAAGTTAAAAAATTATGCTCCAAGATTGACTATCTACTGTCCATCTGATCGAATATCATAACTAAGGTTTTCAAAGCTCAAATATTTTTTTTTTTCTTTTTCTTTTGAAATCAATTACAGGGTGAACCAATTATCAATTAAAAAATTCAATTTATAAAAATCCCCCCTAAGTTGGTATTTCGTCCTCACGATTGCTTGAGATAAAAACCAAATAATATTTAGAGAGAGAGAGAAAGAGAGGATCACCTTGTCAGGGCAAAAAGAATATGGACAATAACTTTGGTCTATGATGATGGGGTTGCCTACATTGTTCATGATTATGTTCTGAAAGGTCATGTTCCTGGCCCTGCTTTCTCCTGGTGATCCTGCCCACGTCTTGATCCTCAAACCATTCATGGTATTCGAAATTGAACAGTCTCTCACACTCAGTCCATCCACGTCCCCTTCATCAACATATTTCCCAAGGCTCCCAACACTGAACCCATTAAACCGTTATTATCCCAAAATTTTAAATCGAAAAGAACTTCAGCAAATGAGCGGTATGCTTCCACAGGAACATAATGTATTACAATCTATATTTCGAATAATATTTTCAATGGTCACTACCAAGGGAGGAGGTACTAATTACTTGACTTAGTTACCTGATGCCATGGCCCGGCCCACATTTGACATTGTCAATGGAGACAAGGGAATTTCCCGGACCAACAGAGATGCAATCGTCTCCTGTTCCAATGGTGCTTTGAGATATGGTGATGTCTGTGTTTCCTTCTAGGTGAATTCCATCAGTGTTTGGGCTATCTTCTGGTGCTGTGATCTTTATGCTGGAGGCCTTGAAATGTTTGCAGTCCAAAATTGCAATGTGGAAAAATTTGCTGTTCAATGAAGATATTCCTCGGACCACCGTGTTTGTCAGTGAAGCGAATTTTACAGACTGCAATAAGCAAGAAAATCCATAATAAAAGATCACATTATTTCTTCTAAAAATTGGTATAACCATGATCTAGGTATAGGTTTCTGCTATATCTGAAAGTGAGATTCACTAAAAAACACTTTAAGAGATGGACTATTTAATGTTTTAAATATATATTTTTTGAATTGTTTTGAAAAATCTTATAAAAAGGACATAATCATGATACAGAACAGTTTAAAATGCGTAGAATATTAAACAATTGATAATTTTTTATAAAGTCCCATATTTGAAATAATTCGTTATTTTAGACCTTAAGACTTAAAGGTCGAACTCCACTTTGCAGAATAATCACCACAAAAAAAAAAAAAGAGTTTGGAGTTCATAAAATATATCAAATCTAATTTTGTGGCAAAAAATTCATGTCCATATATTGAAATGGGTGCTGATTAAATGGATTTAGAGCCTTTGTGAAACTCCAAATCAAATATTATGTAGAGAAGCCAATGCTAAATTAATTTCCATATTACAAAAACAAAAGAAAGAAGAAAAAGTGCTTGAACCCCAAAAATGCTTCAAATCTATTGCCAACCCAAAATTAGATTTTGACCGAATCGACAGTCAATTGGGGCTTGAGGCTTAGAGGTTTTCCTACAACTTCTAATCAAATCTTATTCAGGGAATCATGATTTGCATTTCACCCAAAAAAACAATAGTATCATGATTTGGAGGTTATCTCAAAAGGTTTTCGAGTTGAGAGTAACTTGGTCGAGTCGATTTTTTGAAAACCGATCACTTTCGACATAAAGAAAACTAAATGGAATTATGCGTAATATGCATAGAAAAACATGTGATTCTGAGAAGCAAGAAAGGTGATCCAAAAAGAACTGTTATAATCATTTTTCTTTTCTTACATATACTTACTGTCGGTAGAAGCTTGCATTTTGTGTTAGTGGTACATTTGTTGAGCGGCCAAGCCGAAGAACCTTGACCGTCGAATGTTCCACCTCCAGTGAGCGTGAGGCCGTCGACCCAACCAAACAGGACCCAGGTGTCCAAGGACCCGAACTTGCTCATGTCTCTTGGGGCCTTGAGGATGCCTATAAGCTGGATGTGCATGGTGGGCACATTCTTGCATGGGCCCCGGAACTCCAATGGGCCCACTAGGTAGGCCCCCCAGGGAATCAACAATCTCCCGGGTCCCCGGGACCCACAAGCTTCCTTCCATGCATCCATGAATGCCTGCACCAACGCACAACTAAATGAATAAAATTGTGATTTTTGTTTAGAATTTTTAGCGTACTGGCTAAGATATTACATGGTCCCAAGGGAGCACATTGTCCATTCAACCCCTTGCATAAATTCTATCCAATGCATTTTCAAGACCCAAAATTTTTTGGATGTAACCATCTCAACCTAACTACCAATCAGAAAAAGAGCAAAAAAAGAAAAAAAAAAAAAAAAGGACCTCTTAATGTGCCTAAAAGAGATGTTGATATTGAACATAGACCCTCTAATATTTGGAAGGTTAGATCTAAGTTTTTAAGAGTTCAAAATCCAAATTCATTATTTTTGGTGAAAATACCTTAACCAAATTTTGAGGAAAAGTACCAAGTAGTTATTTACTCAGGAGGAGTAAGTTTACATTGTGGTCCTGCAATAGCAAGCTACTTTTTCAAAATAATACTCCCCTGGTGGGACTAGCCCAAAAAAGTCCTTATGGTTATTAGAGGACATAAAGGTAAATGGTTAACTTGAAGGGGTTATTAGAGAACATAAAAATTAGAGAGCCCCTTGTCACTAATCATTGAATAGAGAAGCAATTTACACGAGCAGTGTTAACTTGTGGTTGAAGCGGGTTTTTCGACCCTGCTAAAAATTATTTTTAGGGCATACTTTTGTTAGGAAATGTAAAATGTATGATTTTAAAATATATTTTTTATTATATATATGATTTTTTATGAACTTTTCTTATTATGCTCAAATTTTTATTTTTTCTCTTTCTTAATTTTTCTGAAATTTTTGAGAGTATAAATCGAATTTCTCAATAATCATCTTTTATATACATTTTTAGATTTTTATAACTTTTAATAATTACGATTACTGACTTTACTTTTTTCCATTGTAACAATTTGTTAACTTTTTTTAGAATTTTTAGACTACAAGATCAGCACATGACTCGGGTGAATCCAACAGGACTCCACCGAGTAACTCGGCTTGAGCAGGGCTCGAGCCGAGTTTTAAAACATTGTTGGGGAGCTTCCAAGTACTTGTGCAAGATCATGGGTCTTAAAATCGTGATTCAGGGCTAAGATTTTCCAGTTTCAATAACATCAGGACTAATTTTGTCCAATTTCCATATTCTATCTTCAGAGCAAGAGAAAATTTTGCTACAGTTTTGAATTTCTCAAAATCCATTCACATTTCAGTCCAGGAATTTGACAACACATTTTCCAGTCCTGAAATTAAAATCTTCCAAGAAGTCACCCTGCCCCAAAAGTGAGTGGTGCCTCTCTCTCTCTCTACTCTCTTTCTCTCTCTAAAAAAAATAAAACTTCATGCAGAGTTTAAAGAGACCAAAGCTATTCTAACCTTAGTGTCATCTGTTTTTCCATCTCCCTTGGCACCATAATCCTTGACATTAAAGAAACCATAGTTGGAGGAGAGAGAGGAAGAAGAAGAGGAGCCACATTCCACTGCTTGAATCCCCAGAAGGCACAGCAGTAACACCACTTTTATCTCCATTTTTGTAATAGACTCACATGATTATGTTTTCTCTCTTTAAACTTGCATTTTCTCTCCCTAAAAGTGTTACCAACTCCCGTAACTCCCCCCACTAAATCTATCATCCATTAACTGCCACTTTGAATAAAGAGCAAGAGACAGGTTAAAGAACGGAGGGGGAATGAGGTTTTTTGTTTAGCCGGTGATTAACCTGAAAATCCCGGTTTACCGGAGTCAATTTACTGCTGACCAGGCTTTGAATGTTCGAGTATGGAGATAGAAATTTGCGGTTTTGGTCCGGGGCTGACCGGACTGTCCGGTTAAACCCAATATTAATGCCATCCAAGTGGCAAGATATCATTCCTTTCTTCCCTATTTTTGCTCCGTCGCTTTTCACCTTCTTTTACTTATGCCAAAAGATTTCCTACTTTTACGTGAGAAAGAAAAAAAAGGAAAAACAAGAAAAAAAAAGTATGTATGCTCCCTTAGACCTAGCTCATCTTATAAATATTTTTTAATGGGTGCGGTCTTAGGCTCTAAACAATCAAATTAGAGCCGACCTTCAAATAGTATCGAGAAATGTGGTTTCAATACTGAAAATCTATGTGATAGCCTTAAAATATACTTTCACATTTCTTTATAAAGTTTAAAGCTTCAAAATAGTGTAGATCGAGGGATCAATGAAAACTTGAAAATTGATGGTCTAAAAATACGTTACAAAATACACTATTTCTAAAACTTGAAATCCATTTTTTTCTCGTGGCCATGCATCTTGATGTCGAGATGATCAATTGGAGGATATTTCGGCATCAAAACAACCTCTTCTAATGAAAATTTTGAGGTTGGCACTAATTTGATTGTTTAGAGCCTCACCTCTATATAAACTTTTCCCTTTCTTAAGCCTAAATTTTTTTAAGAAAGAAGCCTTGCACTCTTCATGTCCTTCCATGGTCCAAGTTTTGGAAGGAAAGATCCAAATGTTCATAAACTCAAAACCCACCTTTTTTTTTCATTTAAAGGAATCATCTAGCGATACTAATTAGATCTCAAAATTTTGAATGAAAAATAATCGCCTAAGTAGCTATTTTGCCCTAGGGAGTTGTGTAATATATCCTCTCATGGGAGCATGCTATATTTTCCATTCACTCCCTTGAGAAGAGTATTTTTGTACCCCATATTTTGGGACGGATGTGTTTGCATAAAATTGCAACCTTGAACTATCATAGTAAGGTGCACCTCCACAAACTTTATCATTAGATGCAATTTTGGTGTAAATTTCTTTTATGTTGGTGTTATAATGTATTTTTATCTCTAATTATTAAATTTTAACCTTCAAACATTGTTCGAATCAACTAAATCTATAAATGTACACAAATCTTGAAAATAGACTGTCCAGGTCAAGAGCTACAAATTTGTAAGACTTGAAATCTTTTTTTGTTCTCTATGTCTATGCATCTCAATGTTGATGATCAATTAGATGCGCTTTTCCAACATCAAAACAACCCTTTTTGAAAGATTTTAGAGGTGCACCTTAATTCTACAGTTTAAGGTTTCAATCTTATAAAAACCTTTCCCTTTTGGGATATCGATCAACCTTAAGAAGAGCAAAGCAAAGAACCTATAAGCGCTTTCGCCAAGATTTAAAATTCTTATTTTTTGGATGATCAAATCCAAGTATTTAAATACAAAAATAGAAATGCACTTTTTGAATGTACTCCTCTGGGCATTCCACATTGGAACGCAAAATTTCACTTGGAAAAATCCTCCTGAGTAGAACTTTTGCCTGAGGGAGTAATTGTGCAATCTGCTCCGACAGTAAAATTCCTTTAAATGTAAATGAAGGAACAAATTTGGGTTGATATCGTAACTGATCCCAAATAGTTAACGTAAGACTTGGATGATGATGATTATGGCTATTACGTTAGAAAAATAAGTATTAAAAAATTTCATAAGGTTGCAACCTTACTTTGTTGGAAAAAAAAAGTTATTATAATTTGGACTGGCGCAGATTTAACACTACCTTCCAAGATGTGTCACTTGTTAACAGTCTTAAAAGATGTAAACTCCACGCTGTCCAACTAAAATGGACAGTACAGGACATTACGTCCAACTAAAATGGACAGTATAGGACATTACAACATTATTTATACAAATAAGCTTGCAACCTTATAAAAAGCGTACCCACTAAAAAAAATAAGAGAAAATTATCAAAATACCCATAATATACCAACTATTTAACATTTTATCCAATTGTAATTATCTACTCATGACCACGAGTCTTTGATGGGTATTTTGAAATTGAATAAAAGATACGGATAGAGTATTGAAAAGTTTCTCTCTCACAGGTATAGGTATTTGAGTAAATTTCCCAAAAACAAAAAAATAAAAAAATTGCAAAAAGCAAAACAATCAAGCGCGAAATTACAGGAAGACAAAAATGACATGTTTTTCTAACCATAATAACAGGCTTCAGTTCTGATATTTGAAATTAACAGCCGCTTTTTCTACCGATTTCGTTTTCCAGGGATTATATCATATCAAAGACCCTCTATCGTGGGCACAACAAAGCCTTGTAATGGCCGTTTTATGCAAAGTAGCATGCAGTCTTTTTTTTGGGTAATTCATTGAGGAAGACAGAGGAAGATAGGCCCCTATCCATTTTTTAATATTAGGGAGTTAGAACTTTTTTTGAAGGTGTCAGTGGGTTGTGTCAGCAGGATTGGAAACTTGAAAATATCGGATTTGGCAAAACCTTGTGATTTTTCTTTCTTTAATCTGAAACCTCAGTTCCTAGGTGGGGAGGAATTTAGTTCACTCCTTCCACACCGTTTGTCATTTCAATTTCAAGTGTAAGTGTATTTCCAGCTAACTACTGTGGAACAGGGCAAGTACACATTGAAATTCTTATGAACTTCGAACGCAGAATTTGATTGGTAAAAAGTAAAAACAAGCTCAAAGAACCAGAAACCCAATGATTTCACATCCATGAAGGTGGAAAGGAAACATCAGTTGGTGTGACAAAGGAATTACACTCTGAATAACACGTACACAAATTTTGACAGAAATGAACTGGAAAACTACAATACAAGAAAAATTGCAAAGTGTACAACAATTTGCGAAAATTGGATTTTCGGTGACTTGGAGAAGTACTTGGGAATAAAAAAACTCAAGAAAAATTGAAAAGACAAGGCTATCAATGAGAAACTACAGAGTATTCTTCTTTATAACCCAATTTATCACCAAGACTTACGATGATTGAGCTTTCGAAGAATGCCTCCTCATAATATTCAGGATGATGGTCGTTGGCACGCGCTAAAAAGCTGCCAGCTAACAAAGGCCATGATCAGTGATGAGAAGAGTTCAAATCCAACAACCTCAGGAAAGTGCCATCCCACACTTCTTCTCAAATAGCTACAGAATAAGAAATTTATTAAGGAAACAAACATAAATATCCAGCAAAACACGAAAGAAATATGAAACAAGACAGGCCTTGATAGGCAAAAAGAGCTATTTGGAATGGTTCTTTAATAAGGAGTACACAATCAACCATAGTAATTTTTGTATTTTTCATTGTAGTGGACATCCAAAGAGATTTTATGCTCTTTAAGTTACTGGTAGCATGGCTAAAGAATCATAAACTATTGAAAATCATATTTTTGTTTTGAGAAAGTTAATAATTTACAATAGCACGTTATGAATAAATACAGAAATTACTCATTCTTGATTTAATAAGACCAAGTGAATTGGTAGATATAATAGTGCAGAAAATTATTCACTCACACTCACCAACACATGCATTAATGTTTACAGAGAGAGAGAGAGAGAGAGAGAGAGAGAGAGAGAGACCTTGTAATGGAGGGCATGGTCGCAAGAATCCCAGCAGATAAATAAATTATAGGAATCAGAGTCTTGGGTTTATTTTTCCGCAGCCACATTAAAGATCCTAGTGCAGCAAGTGAGATGTTCAACACCTGATTACCGAAAGAGAAACATTAAGAGACATTCATCAACTAGCCAGCTTCAGCAGACATAAATTTAAGAACTGTGAAAATACAATATTTAAATGAAAACAAGTTGGAAACTGTATGCATAAATAGTATAATATTCAGTTTTCTCTCTGCTTTGGTTGTCAAAAACCAATGTATATATCAGCATTCTGAGACTCGGCCTCGCCTTAAGGGCGAGGCGAGTTTTGGGTAAGTCGGCTGTACATCATATTTATTTTTTAGTTTAAGTATATTAATACTTCAATTCTTACTAAGATGCATTAAAGTGTCTTTTTGGTTAGTACTACCACCTAAAACTCAACTTTGATACGTTTGAATCCCCATAGCAGCCACCTTTTCAAACTTTTTGAAAACGTCCTTTTTTCTTGGGACTTTTTAAACAAAAATTAGCCCCCCGCTCAAATGGAGGTTAAGACCTCTTGAAAGTGGCCTATTTACTTGGAAAGCAATAACCAACACGGAAACTGTTCCTTGGTGATAAAAACATGGGACTTATAATATATATAACTGAATTTTATCTTCTTTTTCTTAAAAAAAGAATGAACTGGCTCGGAGGAGTTATTCGGACTCACCCTAGTAAATCACCTCGGCCAGGGCCTGAGTACCTTGGCCAAGTTGATTTTTTTGAACACTGGTATATATGAGTTCAGTCAGTTCCTCGGCATTTCACCCTTACACATACTGCAACCTGATCTTTAACTAATGGAATACTACTGTTACCGATTATGCACTTAGAAGCCAAACTTAAACAACTGATGATCTCTAAAACTAGCCAATAAATTCACTAAATTCATCTAACCAGGTTTGAGATAAAACCAGAGTGAAAGAAGCAGAGTGAAAATGTGCAACCAACCAGGTTTGCATTCGCTTCGAGGCCTTGCAGAAGAAAATCCCAAGTGAATTCCAATCCTCTAGCTCCAACCCAGAGAGGTGCAAGTCTATGTAACACTGAATCAGCAAATGCCCAACCTATAAATGGGAAGAGGAAAAAAATTAAAATCGGAGTTTATTATTTAAGCAATGTACTTCCCTCATACAGAGCATTTAAAATATTGGCTATGCTTTAACAAATTGGAAAGTATACAAAATATCCAATGACCATGGAACACAGTTCATTGGAGTCATCACTGTCCAATGAAAAAGAGATGGTTAGGGAAAGCAGGGAGCGTTATAGGGTCAAGTCGTGTTCTAGTGGGTCCCACTCTCTCCATTGCTGTCCAATTTATTGGAAGGTGATGACCATGATGGAGAATGGCTTTCCATAGTCTATCAGATTATAGTACAACTTTCCATAGCAAATGTATTTCTCACACTGAAATATCTCATTACGCACCAAGTCCCACAGCCTGGAATTTATGGTTCTGGGAAATGTTTCGGTGGGTCAACTGCGTCAGAGCAAAATAAAGCCCAGCAACATCTATAAACCCTATCAATGCTTTCAACAATTCCTGCACAAACATAAAGTACTGGTCTGAGGAATTTAATTGAACTTGAATGTGTCAAAACTCAGTGCAGATGTCATTAAAGTTTGAATCCATTGTTTGACAATGTCTAAGGGAAAGAAACTTTTTACTACGTAAATGAAAATAGAACTTTTAAAAACACTTTGAAGTCCTTTGCAAACAATGTATCAGTAACATAAAGTACTGGTCTGAGGAATTTAATTGAACTTGAATGTGTCAAAACTCAGTGCAGATGTCAAGAAAGTTTGAATCCATTGTTCGACAATGTTTAAGGAAAAGAAAGTTTTTACTAACTAAATGAAATTTGAACTTTTAAATACCCTTTGAAGTCCTTTGCAAACAGTGTATCAGTACAATGGTAGAAGAGAAATGAGTTACAAGTGTACTAAATGTAAATACACTATCAGTCATAAAACTGTTAAAATATGCGACGAACAAACCAACTGGTGTTGATCACATATGACTACCATTTGGTTTAGCAGAACCCCTGCAGAAAATTTTATTAGGTTTTCAGCTTATTTAGAACTTTTATAGCAGTGTAGGACAAACTACAGAGTACATTCAACTGTTAAAATATGCCACGAACAAACCAACTGGTGTTGATCACATATGACTACCATATGGTTTAACAGAACCACTGCAGCAAATTTTATTTGGTTTTCAGCTTATTTCGAACTTTTATAGCAGTGTAGGACAAACTACAGAGTACATTCAACCCATAAAATTGCTTGTCTACTGCACCAGGTAGAGCTTATGCAAGCCTCACAATTCCCCCAATTGGTTGATTTTTATTATTTTTTAAATCAAATCCATGAGATTTTGGGGATAACCAAATTGACAAACTTTTAGAGTCTGCGCAATTTGAAGCATAAAAAAGAGAATCATTCAGAACAATTTCCAGTGAAATTAGGAAGAGGTTACGGGATAAAGTACCTGGTATGGATCAAAGCTGTCATTCTCTTGTACTTTAAGAAAAGTTGCAAGGCACACAAGCTGAAAACAAAAAGGGCAGTTCTCTCCATATTAGAAAAAAATACAAATTTCGAAAAAAAGAATACTAGCAAGTTCAATGGTAAACATGGATATACAACACATTTCTGGTGAAAAGCAGAGGCTTACATGTGATATATAAAGAAGATAATTTGACACAACATAGTCACAAATATTAAAACATTATACAAGAAAAGGGAAGCATAAATCTTGTAGTTGTGCATCAGGGGAAAATAGAAAAACCATCAATACATACTACCCAAAGACCACCGTACATTTTTTTTTTGAAGCGTTAACAATTAAAGACCACTGCACATTTTAAAGTACTAGAAAACTTGTAGCAATGGAAATCAAAGCCTAATTTCTTTAGTGGTGGGATGATTCGTTGCAATGTTTATAGCAACATGATGCTTACTGTAGTAATATGCAAATAACTGTAATCCATAAGTTAGGTATTTCTCCTTCATTGGGTTCCTTTGGTAATTCAAATTGTGAATCGGCAAAGGTACTTTCACAATTGTGCCTTTCCGAAAACCTTAGGAGTGTTAAGAGTTCATAGATACGCAATCGCATCACAAGATATGCAGGAATCTTGAAATGTAATATTCCAACAAATGTCTCCAAGAGATAATCCTGAACTTGCTCCAAACAAAGACAATCCCAAACTTATCATGAACCACAGAATGCACAAGCAAACACACCCAACATGAACTTTATTCGGTTACTCACATGGATAAATGCATTACAATTCAACAATCACTCATGTTCGAGGGCTAGTCATTAATGCTGGCTGGTGCACTACTCAAAGTGCTCAAGAGCAATCGACAGTACACTGGCATTTTCTAAGTGGAAGTTTGCAGCATGCTCAATTTCATGAGTAAGGCAGGATTGGATTTCAATAGCCTTTTAACAGACTCCATCTATGGGATCCATAGCATCATAAATAGCAAAGGCCGCATGTTCCACATATGAGACCCATGGCATATACGAAAGCAGTTCTTTACAACTTGGAGAGTCCAACTCGCACTCGCCCAAGACACTTGGAATGGGAGACCCCCTAAACTTCAGGGTACACATAATTGGCTTATGACTGATTTAAACCTTGATTAAATCAATTAGGCTTGACTTATAATTAGTTTCATATATAATTTTTAGGGTTTATGATATTTTTTCCAGTTTTTACTAATTTTTTCTCATCTTTCTGAGAAAATGATCTTTAACCAATTCTCTTTTCTCATTTTTTATGTATGCTCTCTCTCTCTCTCTCTCTCTCTCTCTCTCTCTCTCTCTCTCTCTCTCTCTCTCTCTCTCTCTCTCTCTATCTCTCTCTCTCTCTCTCTCTCTCTCTCTCTCTCTCTCTCTCTCTCTCTCTCTCTCTCTCTCTCTCTCTCTCTCTC